CAACCAACCATCCATCCATCCATCCAACTGTCCAACCATCCATCCAACCAACCATCCATCCAACCATCCATCATCCATCCATCCAACCATCCATCCAACCATCCATCATCCATCCATCCATCCAACCATCCATCCATCCAACCATCCATCCAACCAACCATCCATCCAACCAACCATCCATCCATCCAACTGTCCAACCATCCATCCAACCAACCATCCATCCATCATCCATCCATCCAACCATCCATCCAACCATCCATCATCCATCCATCCATCCAACCATCCATCCATCCAACCATCCATCCAACCAACCATCCATCCATCATCCATCCATCCATCCATCCATCAACCATCCATCCATCCATCCAACCAACCATCCATCCATCCATCATCCATCCATCCATCCATCCAATTATCCATCCATCCAACCATCCATCCAAGCAACCATCCATCCAACTATCCATCCATCCATCCATCCATCCATCCATCCATCCAACTGTCCAACCATCCATCCACCAACCATCCATCATCATCCATCCATCCAACCATCCATCCATCCAACCATCCATCCAACCAACCATCCATCCATCATCCATCCATCCATCCAACCATCCATCCATCCATCCATCCATCCATCCATCCATCCAACTATCCATCCATCCATCCATCCATCTAACCAACCATCCATCCAACTGTCCATCCATCCATCCATCCATCTGTTGCAGTTGTGCTAACAGGAGTTGGTTAGTAAATACAACTGCAACAAGCTTCCTACAGCAGATATTATTGATCAGAAATTAAAGTTGTGTTTTTTCAGAAGGTCATGTGACATTATCAGTTTTGATCTAGTTTTATTTGTCTGAGCGAATAATGGCTGCTGAGCCTCATTTGTCATCCAACCTCTGGAAAAAACATTGATGAAAACAAAACAGTGCGTTTCTATTGTTTTACTTTTTATGGCTGCTGGAAGAAAATGTTTTTGTCTGAAAACTAATGACAACTTTCCTCCAGAAGAACGAGGGGAAATCCTGTTGGATTCAGAACTAGGAATGATCAACTTTCCCACCATGTCGAAGCTTAAACTTTTCCCCTGAATGTACCGAAGGAAATGACACAAGATGCTTCACCAAAGGAAACAAGATGGAGGTGTCAGATTTTAGAGAATGGAGGATTTCTCTTTAGTCTTTGGTTAAACACCAGGAGCCATTTCTGCTGCAAGTGCTAGGCTAACAGGCTAGCTTTGCTCATATTTTCCCAGAATGCCCTGCGCTGTTGTCCACTTCCTACTTTTGGAACATTCTCTGGTCCTGTTGGCATTCACATTCAAACCAAACCAGAGTTCACTTCAACCGAACCCAGACCGTGGTTTGGAGGACCAGAGGTCAGAGGTCAACTGGCATTCACACCAAAACCAGACTTATATAGCAATGGACTGTAGTCGGGTTAAAGGGGATTGAACTGGTTTGGTGGGCATGATAGCAGCATCACAGAGACGTACAGCCTTATATTCCACGGTTCGTACCCTGGTCGGATGCCGCCCTGGGCAGAGAGCAGTGGGGTAATGACTTCCAGCTGCCTAGAGCCGAGTGGGGGACGTTTGATCTCTGCACAGGTACGACTCCACCTGACCCGGTTCTGGAAGTTCTGCGAGTCAGGAAGCAGGAACCAGCAGCAGGTCCAGCAGGACCGTTTGGACTGGTTTGCTTAGACAGAATCATCTGTCTCACTGAACCAGAGGATTGACACAGACTGGGTGACTTTGGTTTCACGGTGGTTTGGGTTTCTCTTGGTTCTGAACGGTTTGGTTCTGTTGGTTCTGTGTTCCATTAGCGGGAGATCATTTTGGGTTTTTTTGTTTATTTTCCTTCTCGTCTTTGGTTCTGCGTGTTTTCATCAGTTTTCCTCTCTGTTGCTCTTCCTCCTTCCAGGATTTCTTGGGAATTTATTGGACCTGGTCTGTGGTTCTGCCCGGCCCGGCTGCGCTCTGACTCTGCGTCCTGAACCCGGTTTGGTGTTGCAGTGTTAATTTGGTCTTGGTGGTTTTGGGTTTCTGCTGTTTGCTTTCAGGGCGGGGTTGAGGTTTGGACTGGAGGAAACATCCAGAACATTTTCCTGACCCGACCCGTTTCACCCTGAGGATGATGAAACTCAGTTGTGTTCAGAGCGCCTCTGCAACTCGGACGTTTCTCCACCTGAAGCTCCATCGCCGCGGCGTGAAAACCCAAATAAACAGGCAGCAGCTGAGTGGAAACAGCCGGCCGGGCCAGGTACGCACAGCTCCCTCTACTAGCTGGTTTACATTAGCCTCCTCCACAGCGCCGCAGGATAAATACGGAGCTGTTTCTGTTTAAACACGAGCAGCTTGAACTGGACCGCCGTCCTGGCACCGATGCAGGACAACTGGAAACACTGGGAACCACAATGACGCCCCGAAACAAACAGTGGAGAAAAGAAATAAAAACTAATGTTTGGGAAAAGTTTAGAACACCTGGAGAGCTTTCTGAACACCTGAATCCACATGAACGTCACTTGAATGTCACCTGAACGCACCTGAACATCACCTGAACTTCACCTGAAAGATACCTGAAGGTCACTTGAATGTCACCTGAATGCACCTGAACGTCACCTGAAAGCACCTGAACGTCACCTGAACGCACCTGAACATCACCTGAACGCACCTGAACGTCACCTGAACGCACCTGAATGTCACCTGAACGCACCTGAACGTCACTTGAACGTCACTTGAACGTCACCGGAACGCACCTGAACGTCACCTGAACGCACCTGAAAGTCACCTGAACGCACCTGAACATCACCTGAATGCACCTGAACATCACCTGAACGCACCTGAACGCACCTGAACGTCACCTGAACGTCACCTGAACGCACCTGAACGTCACCTGAACGCACCTGAACGTCACCTGAGCGTCACCTGAACGCACCTGAACGTCACCTGAACGCACCTGAACGTCACCTGAACGCACCTGAATGTCACCTGAACGCACCTGAACGTCACTTGAACGTCACCAGAACGCACCTGAACGTCACCTGAAAGTCACCTGAACGCACCTGAACATCACCTGAATGCACCTGAATGTCACCTGAATGCACCTGAACGCACCTGAACGTCACCTGAACGCACCTGAACGTCACCTGAACGCACCTGAACGTCACTTCAACGTCACCGGAACGCTGAACGTCACCTGAACGCACCTGAACGTCACCTGAACGCACCTGAACATCACCTGAATGCACCTGACATCACCTGAACGCACCTGAACGCACCTGAACGTCACCTGAACGTCACCTGAACGCACCTGAACGTCTGAACGCACCTGAACGTCACCTGAGCGTCACCTGAACGCACCTGAACGCACCTGAACGTCACCTGAACGCACCTGAACGTCACCTGAACGCACCTGAACATCACCTGAATGCACCTGAACGTCACCTGAACGCACCTGAACGCACCTGAACGTCACCTGAACGCACCTGAACGTCACCTGAACGCACCTGAACGTCACCTGAACGCACCTGAACGTCACCTGAGCGTCACCTGAACGCACATGAACGTCAACTGAACGCACCCTGAACGCACCTGAACCTCACCTGAACGCACCTGAACCTCACCTGAACGCACCTGAACGTCACCTGAGCGTCACCTGAACGTCACCTGAACGCACCTGAACGCACCTGAACGTCACCTGAACGCACCTGAACGTCACCTGAACGCACCTGAACGTCACCTGAACGCACCTGAACGTCACCTGAATGCACCTGAACGTCACCTGAAAGCACCTGAACGCACCTGAACGTCACCTGAACGCACCTGAACGCACCTGAACGTCACCTGAACGCACCTGAACGTCACCTGAACGTCACCTGAACGCACCTGAACGTCACCTGAGCGTCACCTGATCGCACCTGAACGTCACCTGAACCCACCTGAACGATACCTGAAGGTCACTTGAATGTCACCTGAAGGCACCTGAATGTCACTTGAACGACACTTGGTCAGAGAAACATAGCTTGTGGTTTGTTGGTAAATGTGTGAACTTTGATCCCTCTTGTGGGTTGTCAGTCTCATCTTCCTCTTTGCTGCTCTTCCTCAACCGTAGCTCCGCCCCTTTATCAGATGTTTCCTCCTCAGCTGAAATTGGGTGAATTTGTGGCGACTGTTTCGTGGAGCCTCAGATTCCTGACCCGCTTTCGGCCACCACATTCCCAAACATCCCAAACATCCAAAACATTCCACAGCATTCCTGGCGGCCTTGATGGATGAGCCTCCAGCGCGCCGCGCCATGCAGGGTCAAGCTGACGTTCAGAACCCGGCTGCAGACCGACTTCCGCTTCCTCTGAGGAAAGAAGTGAGGTTCTGGATTTCTAGTTCTGGTCTGCCCAAAACTGATGTTTCTTCTTCTGTGGTTTCTGTTGAAGCATCTTTCGCAAAATTCCGGCCTCTGCTGCAACCTGGAAACCAGAGAACCTGGTTTCCAGGACCAGCAGCAAACGGACCAGCAGCAGACGCAGGTCCGGTTTGCCTGCAGGCCATCCAGGTGAGGGGGCAGAGCCTGAGGGGTCAGAAGGTCAGATGGCCTGAAGAAGAACCGGGTTGGTTCTGATCAGTGGTGGCTCTACAAATCTCCTCAGCCCGTGCAGAACCTTCAAGTTCTGGTTCAGACCCGCTGAGTCTCAGTTCTGATCATACAGGTGGAACAGATGAATTCTGGGTAACTTCAGCCATTCAGGGTCAGAACCCGGTTGGGTCAGAATCAGGTTGGGGGTTAAATTCCATCCTGAGGAAACTTCGTTTTTTTTATTTTGTGTGTTAATTAATAAATGAATAATAACACTGAAAACAAGAAGCAGCCGGATGCCTGACCCGAACCGAGACGAACCTCTTCGGACTCGACCCGGTCCAGGTGTGGCTGCAGCCGCCCGGCTCCGGTTTCTCCTCCGGCGTGGGCGGGGTCAGTGATGAAGAGGAGGAGCAGCTGGTCTCGGTTCAGTCTGTCGCAACTTTTTCCTCTCTTTTGTTTCTCAGATTCTGATGGACCCTCGGCAGCTCACCAAACCGGGCCAAAGCGGGTCCAAGGCAGGATAGGAGTGGGTCCGAGCAGGATAAGCGCGGTGCGGTTTTCCGCTGTGGATCTGGACTCTGTTTGGATCAGAACCGTAACATGAATCGGTAGGACTGACTTCTCGGAACTTTTTTTGCCGTCTCCATGGAGATGAGGGATATTCCCGCCATCTAAGCAGTTGATCACGTGGTGATCAGGGATCGATAGGCTCATTGATCGTATTGATCGGGATGGGCGCGCTCCCGTTGCTTTTGCTCGTGCTCTGGATTTGCGAGCACGCCAGGAGCACGTTCCCGATGCGCGCCTCCTACAGCCTGTACGCCGGCGGGAACGCGCACGCGCACGGAGCCCGAGCGGCCAGCAGACACAGGTAAGATGACACGTGCACGGAAACGGTGATGATGAGGAGGTGAAGCAGGGGCGATGACGTCACTGGGCGCGTGCACGTGTGTGTAGAAATCTGTTGATTTGAGTTTAAAACGCTGAGAACCAGAACCTTTCTGATGGGAGGGCTGCTGGTTGGAATCAGATTGGAATCTCGTTCTGGTTCCGTTTGCTGAGACGGTTCTGACAAACGGGCTGCAGGTCCGAGTTCTGGCTGAGTCAGACCTTCTACTGGGTCAGAGAACCAGGAGGTTCTTCCCTTCATGTGGCGGTTCTGATCCGGAGCAATGATGTCGTTTGGGTTGGGTTTGGGTTCTGATGTCACTCATTCCTGAAACATTATCCCATGGTTCTGCTGGGACTGGGTCGGAACCTCTTGCATTGCTTTCTCTACATAAACACTGAAAGCAAACATGGAGACATTGGATCCGGATCTCAGAAACCGTACAGAACCAAAATGTTCTGTTGGACCAACATGGCTCTTAGACAGAGAGCCGAACTGGACAGCAGATTCTGAATGCAAATCAAGTCCAGAACTTCCTGTGGAAAGCAGAGTTTAGTTTTTCTGGTTCAGGTTCTGTTAAAATAGGGTCGGGTCGGGTCAGGTCAGTCATTCCTCTGGAGCCAAATGGGATGATTCAATTTAGTTCATCGAGACACTGAAGTGAAGTGAACTGAACCAAATGTGAACTGAATTTAAACTGAAATAACCTGATTCTGACCCGTCTGACCCAATGTGCTGGTACTTCCACCTGAACCCAGTCACCAGTCCAGACAGCGCTGATGAAGCTGATGAAGATGAGCAGCTGCTCAGATATTTCAGGAATTTATCAACAAATAGTCCCCATGTTGTCAGTGTGAGCGGCTCATGAATCATTATCTGCTGCAGTCGAATCAAACTGTTTCAAACTCTGAAGAAATTCTGCAAATTTCAAAGATGTGAAATAAATCAGTGAAATAGTGAAATGAGTGGCACGGTGCGTTAGTGGGAGTGGTTAGTGGGACGGTGGTTTAGTGGGACGGTGCGCTAGTGGGACGGTGGTTTAGTGGGACGGTGCGTTAGTGGGACGGTGGTTTAGAAGGACCGTGGTTTAGTGGGACGGTAGTTTAGTGAGTCAGTGATTTAGTTGGACGGTGGTTAGTGGGACGGTAGCTTAGTGGGTCAGTGGTTTAGTGGGATCTGGTTAGTGGGACGATGGTTTAGAAGGACCATGGTTTAGTAGGACGGTAGTTTAGTGGGTCAGTGGTTTAGTGGGATCTGGTTAGTGGGACGGTGGTTAGTGGGATGGAGGTTTAGTAGGATGGTGCGTTAGTGGGATGGTGGTTTAGAAGGACCGTGGTTTAGTGGGACGGTAGATTAGTGGGTCAGTGGTTTAGTGGGATCTGGTTAGTGGGACCATGGTTTAGTGGGATGGAGGTTTAGTGGGACAGTAGCTTAGTGGGTCAGTGGTTTAGTGGGATCTGGTTAGTGGGACGGTGGTTTAGTGGAATGGAGGTTTAGTGGGACTGTGATTGAGGCCGTGGAGGAGCTGTTATGCTTGCCTCGCACTCACGCCACTCACTGTTGTTTTTGGCCTCCCACGAAAATGCTTTCTCTACCTCTGAAGAGATGTACATCTGCAGAAATCCAAAAGACTCAGAAAACTGATTCAGAATGGAATTGAACATCACCACTGGCCCAGCACCATCCTGGTCTCTATGGAAACAGTGGCTGTTCAGATGTGTCTGTCTTTCTCGACAAAAATATGTCAACACAGAGACACATTCATCCTGACCTGCTGACCTCACCACAGAGTTTCATGTGACATTAAGCTCTCTCAAGAACAACAAGTCTTCTTTTCCAGACTTCAGAGGGCCTCAACAGTTAGAAACCAGTCAGGAACCAGTCAGAAACCAGTCAGAAACCACTTTGATGTTTTGGACTGGTTGGATGTTGCAGGCAGCTGGATTTGGACCTCAATGATTTCTTCTTCTTTGGATGTTTTGTTTCTCCTCTTGTACTTCCAGAGCTAAAACTGAACCATAAACTGTGACATCCCAGAACCAGAGCCCTCCACTGTGTGTCCCAGAACTGGATCAGAACCAGAACCCACTTTTTAAACTGTGTGTCTGTCTTGAAGGAACTGGTGTGCGTTCGTCCTCACGAAGACTGTGAGCTGCGTGGTGGAGGACGGCGTGGAGACCTACGTGAAGCCCGACTACCACCCGTGCAGCTGGGGCAGCACCCAGTGCAGCCGGGTCGTGGTGTGAGTGACCGCTGACCCATTTCTGACCCGGCCTCTCAGAACCGGCGCACTGAGCCTCCATGTTTGGTGTCTCCGCAGCTACCGGACCTACATGAGGCCACGCTACAAAGTGGCCTACAAAACCGTGACGGAGATGGAGTGGAAGTGTTGCCATGGTTACAGCGGAGAGGACTGCAGCATCAGTCCGGCTGGCGGCGGAGCAGGAAGTCACACGTCCAATGGAGCGGGGACAGGAAGTGGTTTTGGAATCGGACAAAATGGAGGTAACAAAGAGTCTGATCTTTGCCACTAGGTGGCAATGTTTTTATTGAGTCTACACAAATAATAAAAACTACTGCCAAGTCCCTAAATATTAAAACAAGTTTAATTTGTTTTTAATCTTAGAGCCTTTGATTAAATGTCACTAAAACTGACATTTAAGAGGTGAAAACGATGGGGGCCATTTGTAAAGTTACACAGTCAAACATTAAAAGGAACCACAATTAGTAATAAAAATAGACTTTATTTTGGGAAATATTTTGTTTAGATGTAAAAGCAATACAGTAGTAACACTGGGTTTTTTAGTTTTTATAAATTTTAATAAAATATTGTCGCAGGAATGTTGTTCACGCTGCAATGCATTCTGGGTAAATGATGTGTAATGGTCCAACTGCCTGGCTCATCCAGTGATGAGTAACATTATTATTAAGCCTTTTAATTTGAACTGGAGCATTGAAATAAATCAGAACTAGAAATAACCGGTGATGAGGAGGAGGAGCAAACAGAGGAAGAGGAAGAGCTGCCTTCAGCTGCATAATGAAACAATGAATGAAACTCACTTCCGGTCTCTGTGTTGTCCGGTACCTGGTTCTGGAGCTCTGAGTCCGGTTTGGAAATAGCTGTTACTGGTGGTGGTTTCACATTCAGTACCGGTGATCCGAGAAGGACCTGCTGCAGCAAACAGGAAGGGGCGGGACGGACCGCTGTCAATCTCAGACCTTATTTGGAAATGGGACCATTGCACTCCGGAAGTGAAGGGGGCACGTTTCCTCTATCATCCTATTTTTTCTATTTAATAAGGAAGCCAGGAATCATATAAGCAAGCTAAATATTAGTTTACAAATAAATATTTGGCTCCAAATTATATTTAGTTTACAGTTAGTATATGATATTTAGGTTTAAATTCTTCTAAATAGTTGTATATTAGATATTTAATTGTGAACTGAATGTTTATTTTGTAAGCTAAATATTGAACTTCCTAAATGTTAGACAATTTCTTGCTAAATTTAATTTAGCAAGAAATTAAATTAACTTGTTAACCAAATATTTACTTTGAAGACGACTTCCGGTTTGCCATGCGGTCAGGGTAGACGTAGCAACGGACGGCTCCGGTAAAATCCAACCTTTAATTAAACTCACCCCACAGAAAGCTAATTTTACGCCTCCAATTAATATAAAACTTTTTGGCTAGTGTTTTGATTATATATCCACTAGTAATGGCTGGTAAGAGCATGAAAGGAAGTAAGAAAGAGGACGCTAGCTTAACGCTAGAAGCTATCACCGCACTACTTCAGCAGCACGGTGAGGATCTGAAGTCTGAGTTCGGGTCCTCTGTCAACATGTTAAGCTCCAAGCTGGATCAGGTGCGCAGGCCTTGGAAGAACAGGCTGAACAAGTCTCCTCTTTGGAGCTCGCGACAGAGGATCTGGGCCAGCGGGTGGCTAGCCTCGAAGACTCGTGTGCTGCTCTCCGTGAAGACAATGCTAAGCTAAAGGACAAGGTGACTGACTTGGAGAGCCGCAGCAGACGACAAAACATCCGTATCCTCGGCCTACCCGAAGACACTGAAAGTGGGCGCCCTACTCATTTCTTCTCCAACCTTCTCTGCGAACTTTTTGGGAAAGAGGTGCTCCCGACCCCACCAGAGCTCGACAGAGCACACCGCTCTCTGGCAGCGAAGCGGCCCGCAGGACGTCCACCTCGCCCGGTGATCCTCCGCCTGCATCGGTACCTGGTCAAAGACCTCATCATCCGGGAAGCCAGGAGGAGAGGAAATTTCGACTACAAAGGCGCGTCTCTTCGTATTGTGGAGGACTACAGCCCAGACGTGCTGGCCCAGCGGGCAGAATATAAGGACGTCATGGCGGATCTCTACAAGCGGGGCCTGAGGCCGGCTCTTCTCTTCCCAGCCCGTCTTCGCATAACGCAGCCCAACGGTGTCAAGAAACTCCTTGGTTCGGTGGAAGAGGCTCAACAGTTCATCAAGAGGCTTCCAAAACCACAGGAAGTCCAATAAAGGAGCAACACTCTGCCGGGGGTTTACTCCAGAAACAGGGTGGGCTGCTTATCTCGGGGCACAGCAGGTACTGTAAATATAGCCTGTTGTCATTTAACCCTACTCATAATGGTGGTTTGGGGTCTGGCCACCGTTTAGCTGTTGCTGGACTTTATGAATGGAGGTGTAGATTCATTAATACCTTTTTGTTCTGTCCCAACAGTTTTCAAAGCCTTTTTTTAATACCACTCCCTGTGATTACTTAAGCCTTAAACATTGCTATTTTTTTATAGTGTTCATGGAGGCCAGTAAAAGGTGTCTTCAAAATCTTCATCACTGTGGGGGGTCTACACCTACTCCATGCCTACTAGGAGCAGTGGTTAGTTTGCTATTGTTAAGTCTGTTTTTTCTAGTTCTTATTCTGAGGTTGTTAGCTACTGGAAGATTGGGTCTTTGAGAATGTTGTTTGAAGAGCTTGCTGCCACATTGTTGTTTTTTGTTTGGCAGCTGTTTAAGTTTGGGGGGAATGTTAAGAGGGAGGATAAGGTCACCATCAGAGGTCTTGCAGGTTACTGTAATTTTTTATTTTCTTTTTCATCTCTTTTGTTCCATCCTCTGCCTGCCATATTCTTATTGTACCTGTCAAAGTAAGATAACACACAAACTTTGAAATCATGAGTCAACACTTGCAATTTTTAAGCTTGAATGTCAAAGGTTTAAACCACCCAGTCAAGAGAAGGAGGTTTTTTCCCATATTAAACGATTTAAAACGGATGTGGCGTTTCTGCAGGAGACTCACATCAGAGGCTCAGACGGGGGTCGTCTCCTGACATGTTGGAAGGGACAATGTTTTCACCCATTTTCAGGTAAAGGCACGGGGGTCTCTATACTGATCAGCCAGAATACTCCATTCGAGGCCGATAATGTGGTAGCTGATAAAACAAGGCAGATTTATTATAGTTTGTGGGAAATTGTACGACACCCTGGTCGCCTTGGTCAATGTTACGCTCCTAATACAGATTATGAGAATTTTTTTAAACAACTATTTTCTTCCCTACCTGACCTTAATAAATATTCATTGGTCCTAGGGGGTGACTTTAACTGTTGGCTGGACCAGTTTTGGACCGCTCGTCTCTTAAAGTAATGTCATAAGCAAGTCTGCATCAGTCATCCAAACCTTTTTATCTGAATATGGGCTGTGTGATGTGTGGCGTACTTTAAATCCAGACAAGAGGAGTTCTCCTACTTCTCACATGTACATAAAACTTATTCGAGAATTGATTATTTTATCACAGATACTAAATGGCTACAGCAGATCCGTTCCTGTGACTATCAAAGCATAGTTATTTCAGACCACGCCCCACTTACTTTGTCACTGTCCCTTCCTCACTTCCCCCTAAGAACTGGACCTTGGCGTTTCAATTCAACCCTGCTGTCGGATGAAAACTTTGTACAGTTATACAAGATGAGATATGTTTCTTTTTTGCTACAAACTCCTCCCAAGAGATCTCCAGTCTTGTGGTTTGGGATGCTTTTAAGGCCTATATCAGAGGCCAGATGATTGCCTATTCAGCAAAAATTAAAAAACAGTCCACCCATGAACAGAACAACTAATTCAACAAATCAAAGAGATTGACGTAAAATATGCTCTGAATCAGTGTCCTGAACTGTTTAGAAGACGTATTGAACTTAAACAAGGCTTGACCTACTGACAACACACTCAGCTGAACGCCTGCTTTTACACAACAAATCCAAATTTTATGTGCATGGCGACAAACCCGATAAATTATTAGCAACCATGCTTAAGGGCTCGAGGGCAAAGCAAACTATTTCTAGAATTCGAAAACAAGATGGCAGTATAGTCACAGATCATTGTCAAATTAATGATGCATTTAGAAACTTTTATGAGGAGCTCTACAGCTCACAATCACAACCCAATCCTAACATGACTGATGATTTTCTAGCTAAACTACACATCCCTGTAATTTCACCAGAACTTAAGAACAGGTTAGATGAACCCATTTCCCAGGCAGAAGTCTCCCTAGCAATAGCTTCAATGCAATCTGGTAAATGCCCAGGACCGGACGGTCTTCCCTCAGAATTTTTCAAACAATTCTCAGACTTACTCTCAGTGCAGCTCAGCTCCTCTCTTACTGATTGTTTAACACGGATCCCTCCCTCAATCATTTACGAAGCTTGTATTACACTGATTTCAAAAAAAGGCAAAGATCCTGTGAAATGCGCCTCATATAGACCCATCTCTCTCCTAAATACAGATGCTAAAATTTTAGCCAAATTCTTTCCCGTAGACTTGAAACTGTTCTACATCAATTATTTCTAAAGACCAAACAGGATTTATTAAAGGTCGACACTCGTATTTTAATGTTAGAAGGTTGTTTAATATCATGTATTCCAGTGCCACAGATTCGGATGAGTGTGTTGTCTCCTTGGACGCTGAAAAAGCCTTTGACCGGGTTGAGTTTGACTATCTTTTTGCTGTTCTTAGTAGATTTGGCTTCGGAGGAAACTTCATTCATGGATTAAACTATTATACCAGCAACCGTCTGCCGTGGTTTGTACCAATTTTCAGACTTCAAAACCATTTAAATTACAGAGAGGCACCCGGCAGGGCTGTCCTCTTAGCCCCTGCTTTTTGATCTGGCTATAGAGCCCCTCGCCATTGCACTTAGGACCAGTAAAGATATCCGGCATTTGGAGGAATGACATGGAACATAGAGTGTCGCTTTATGCAGATGACCTTTTACTTTTTATTTCCAAACCATCAACCTCACTGCCTTTTGTTCTGGATGTATTAAATGAGTTTGGTCAGATTTCTGGATATAAGCTGAACCTTACTAAAAGTGAACTTTTTCCCATAGGTAATAAAGCTAATACGTCAGAGTTGTCAAATCTCCCGTTTAGAATCGAAAACAAAAATTCACATACCTTGGCATCACAGTGACAAATAAACATAAACATTTGTTCAAGGAGAATTTGATCCAACTGTTGAACCAAGTGAAGGGATCCCTTACAAAGTGGACGCCCTTTTCCATGTCCCTTGTGGGGCGTATTACTCAATTAAAATGAATATACTACCCAAATTTTTATACCTCTTTCAGGCATTACCAATTTTTATTCCTGGTACTTTTTTTAATGAGCTAGACTCAACTTTTTCGTCCTTCATCTGGCGGGGTAAACGCCCAAGGCTCAATAAATTACAACTCCAAAAACCTAAACAACAGGGGGGGTTTGCCTTCCCCAATTTCCGGTTTTATTACTGGGCCGCCAACCTTAGATGCTTAGTGTTTTGGTATTTTTATCATAACCAGGGTGGCTGTCCTGACTGGGTGGCTATGGAGCTGCGCAGTGGTAATGATATATCCATCCCGGCTGTGCTCTGTTCCCCCTTCCACTCTTCGTCTAAAACCATTTTAAACCCTGTAGTGAAACACTCACTGAAAATTTGGGGCCAGTTTAGAAAATACTTTGAACTCCATGATTTTTCCCTCCTAAGTCCACCACCTTTTTAGACCATCTGTTCAGGATGGGGTGTTCTTAGAGTGGCACCGGAAGGGGCTTACTCATTTTAAAGACCTTTTCATGGAGAAGAGTTTGGCATCCTTTGAGGACTTGGCAATAAATATGGTTTACCTAAATCTCACTTTTTTTAGATATTTGCAAACCAGAAACTTCATTTAGTCTCACTTATCAGGCTCAGTTTCCCTGCCAGAGGACACTTTATTGGAAACTATCTTATCATTGAACCCGACTCGTAAAGGTATGGTTTCGTGGCTTTATAGTAAAATGTTGAGTTTGACGGAGACCTCCTCATCTAATCTTAAAACTTCATGGGAAGAGGACTTGGATATTACTATACTGGATGACACATGGGACTCTATACTTAAACTAGTGAATACAACATCTTTGTGTGCACGCCATTGTCTCATTCAGTTCAAAATAGTACACAGAGCCCATCTTTCCAAAAGCAAACTATCTCGTTTTTATCCAGAAGTCACCCCATACTGCGACAAATGCAAAACTGCCGTAGCCACACTGGTTCATATGTATTGGTCCTGCCCCGCTGGGTCACTTCTGGAAAGATGTCTTCCGTACGATGTCTGGTTTGGCCGGAGTGGTGGTGACACCTTGCCCTCTCTTGGCCTTTTCGGTTTTAGTGGAAAGGAGTTGCCTTTATCGGCTTCTAAACGAAGGCACTGGCATTTTGCTCACTGCTAGCGAGGCGCACAGTTCTGACCAGGTGGAGGGGTGCTGCTCCTCCTACTCATAAACAGTGGATATTGACCTTATGTCATGTCTGAAACTGGAAAGAATTAGATGCTCTCTTCAACACTCAACTGGTAAATTTGAAGAAACATGGGGGCCCTTTCTCAACTCTTTTCAAAATATGCAATGATGTTCCAGATCAATTAGGTAAACACATTTTATCAAAATTTGTTTCCATTCTTGACAGGGATGGGAACGTAGTGCATTGGCCTTCTGAGCAGTGACTTGGGTGGGCTGAATGGGATTAAGTTGAGGGATTAATTAACCTTTTTTTTTGTTTTTTTTTTGTTTTGTTTTGTTTTCTTTGTTTCTTCTTTTTTTTCATATATTATTCTATGTCGGATAAACACTTCTTTGTATTCGCAAACTGTATGTATGAATGGAAAGAAAAACCTCAATAAAAATACAGTGATTAAAAAATATTTACTTTGAAGACTAATACTTAGCTTGTTAGCTACATTTGTAGTTTGAAGCAAAATATTTTGTTTGGAAACAAAATATTTCAATATTTAGTTAGAAACTGTGACATTTATAAATCAATAAAATGCTAACCCTTAATTCTCTCTTATAAACTGCGAAGTAATAAATTATTGTGGTTAATTTTTGACTGAGTAACTTACCTAACAAGAAACTCACAGGAAACTTCAGACATGTTATCATTTCTCTTTCATTTCGTTCCAGTTGATGCGGTTTGATTTCTGCTGTTGGTGTCTGAACATGAAACCTGAAAGCTGGGTCCGTTCCTTCCCTTCCAGGACGACAGGACCGGGAGGAAATCAAGAGGTTGGAGGAAAAGATCCAGAGGCTGACGGACAAGCTGCAGGATTTCCAGTCCACCATGAATGAACACCTCCACCACGAACCTGTCAGACCCGGAAAAAACCCGCAGATGCTGCGCCACCCGAAATCAAAGAGACGATTCACAGCATTCAGACCAAACTGGACCAGCTGGACAACCGAACCAAGGTGCACAGCAGTAGGGTCACGGTCTTCTTCTGTGGTCTGGATGATTAGTCTTTAGACCTCCTAGTCTTGGAGGTTTGGAAGGTCTTCTTACCATCATCCTAACTCACTTCAGATATTCTCTCAAGTCCATTTATCAAACTGATGATTTATTTAACCTCAGAAATAAGTCCCAAATTAGTACATTTCAATTGGCCTAATTATCGACTTTCTCTAGAGCAGGGGTGTCAAACTCCAGTCCTCGAGGGCCACTGTCCTGCAGTATTTCGATGTGCCACAGGTATCAAACACAGGAATGAAATGGCTTAATTACCTTCTCCTTGTGCAGATCAGTTCTCCAGAGTCTTAATGACCTCATTATTCTATTCAGGTGGTGCAGCAGAGACACATCTAAAGGTTGCAGGACACCAGCCCTTGAGGACTGGATGTTGACACCACTGATCTGGAGATTCAAGTAGGGTCTGTAGCTAGACCACATCAGAGCATTTATACAACTTTCATCCCAAAGAAACATGACATAGAATAAACAAGACAAATAAAAAGCTCAGCAATTAAAACTGTTTTCACAAAATAGATTTATTCAGGGTGTGCACCGCTAATTAAAACTTTAGCTACCCTACCCAGAAACCACTAATGAAGAATATTAGTTCTGCTAATGCTAAAATGCTACACCAACATGATATTTCATGGAAGCTAATGCTAAAGTGCTTCACGAGCATATTTACTGGACACTAATGCTAAATCTTCATATAAACCATGTGTCACGAGCAAAATATATGTAAATTTTTGTGTTTATTTAATTAAAAACCTGTTTGTCTGTGTGTTGTACTTTTTTGTTAGCATAATTCATTCATTTGTTGCTTTCCTGCCATTTGCTCAAAAACGATGGATGCTTGGTTAAATAGTTGGTTGGATGGTTGAACTTACCATCAAACCAAACAACGATCAATGAGCAATGATCATTGAACATTGAGTGGTTCAATGATCATTGATCATGTTCAACCAGTCATTAAACATGATTGGTTCAATGGTTGGTTGATTGGTTGGTTGGATGCTAACCGCACTTGCTTGTGTCCCATCAGGCTCATGATAAAACTCTGGTGAGCATTAACAACCACCTGGTGAACGGGAAGGGCAACGATCTGGACGGAGACGTTTCCCCTGGAGGATTGAGTGGAGACCAGCTGAGCTCCCTGAAGGAGAGCATCCTGAAGGAGCTGGAACGCCGAGTGCTGCTGTCCTGCTCCTCCTGTCAGGTAAATCCTCCGTGTTTGGCTCCGCTCGCCGTCCGGGCCGTTGGGAATCTCACGCTGTGCTCTGTCGCTCCCAGGCCGGCGTGGAGGACCTGCGGCGCCAGCAGCAACAGGACCAGGAGAGGATCCGCTCTCTGGAGAAGCAGCTGAACGATGCCAACGTTCGCCACCGACAGGATGCCGAAAGGCTTCGACTGGAGCTGCAGCGTTCCCAGAGATGCTGCAGCTCCATTGACGACCTACAAAACCGCATGAGCGACGCCGAAAACAAGATCAGCTCTGCCTCAGAGAGCTTCAACATCCTGCTGGGCCGCCTGAGCCCCGGCAGCGACAGAGGAGAGTCCCAGGGAGGGGGAGGAGCTACTGGAGGGGTAACTACAGGCGGGGCAATTGGAGGGGGAGGGGCTAGTGGAGGACGCAATGGTTTGACCGATGTTCGGGCAAATCTCCTGAAGGACTTGGAGCTCAGCATCAACAGCAGCGTTCTCCAGGTGTGCTCTCACCTGCAGGCTGACCTGAGGGAGTTTGTCCAGAGAGAGCTGGACGACCTGCGGACGGCGTTCTCACACCGCTTTGACGACCGCACCTTCAGGATCGAAGACGTGGAGCTGGAGGTGCAACAGCTGCAGAGCAACCTGCTGGAGCAGGACAGGAGAGTGTCAGCGTTGGAGAACCAGACGGCCGAGACGAGGAAGAGGATGGAGGAGTGCCACTGCTCGGGTGGGCGAGGGGCTTCTGAAGCAGGTGGAGGTAAAGGAGAAGAAAGAGGCGGAGACACGGGGGAAGGTTTCACCAGATCGTATGGAGGTGGAGCAGGAAGTGCTGGATCAGTTGGAGGAACAGGTTTATCTGGCGGGAGAGAAAACACGACCAAGAAATCTCTGGAGTGGAGAGTTGTGGTGGACGGGGTCAGATTCGACACTTCAACACTCGACTGAAGGACCTGTCGGTGTCTGGAGACTCTCTGCATGACCGGGTGAGTTCAGCGCTCCACCTTCTCCAAAACACGGTTTGAGTTACCGACACGAGGAGAGTTGTAGCTGAGACCAGATCCGATGAAAACACACTGACTTCAGCTCCAGGGAAAACTTCTAGGAAAAACTAGGGGTGCACTGATTTATCGGCCAGCTGATTTCCTTAATATTGGGAGATCAGTGATCGGCCAATTCTTATATGTGAAGCCGATCTTATCCACAGATGTTGATGTCAACCTCGGCAAAAGTCTAGAAATCAACCTCTGTGCTCTTCTTTTTTCCTGTGAGAGGTGTGACTGACAGACCAGCCGACCAGTCACTCAATATACTCTCTTGGTATATTGAGCAACATTTCAGACAAAATTAGAATCAGTAAGTTAGCCTTTTTAAAAGATCAGTAATCAGCGATCGGTCAGAAAACTGCAGTCGGTTCACTCTCAGGAAAACCTCTCATAAAAAATGTTCCTGTTTTAGGTCAGACTTAGATATTATGACAATAACATCGTAATATTACAAGGAAAACATAATAATAACACAAGAATAAACTAATAATTCTAATATTTTGAGAATGAAGTAGTAATTTTAAATTCCCTTCATGAAATAAATAAAACAACAAAATGAGGAATGTTGAACAGCTGGTACTTTTTTTACACATAAGTCAGATTGTTATCGGCAGAAGATCTTTGAAACGAAAATGGTTCATGTCACATCCTGATAACATTATGACTTTATTCTCGTCATTTAAAAACAGTGAAACCTCTGGTTCTGGTTCTGGTCGTGTTGCTCCGTTGTAGAAACAGGATAATTCGGTTCTGATGTACCGTCAGTAAAAATCATCCTGTGTATTTCCATACATGTAAATATACGTTTTCAGCTGTAGGTTCTCTGCTCATGTACTGGTGCTGGTTCTGTGATGCTGATGGAATCCTGAGCTGTGATTGGCTGATGCGGTCCAAACGGTCTGTCCAGGTTCTGGACCTGAGCCACGACGTTCAGGCGATCAAGTCACTGACCGGTGACAATGGTGAGAACTTCAACCGCATCGTGATGGAGGTGGAGATGCTGGGCCAGGACTGTGAGCTGTGCAGCCGCGTGGAGGCGGAGCTGCAGAACCTCCGGAACCGGTCCCAGGACCTGAGCGCCATGCAGGAGGCGCTGCTGAACCTGGAGAGCCACGTCGGCACCATCCAGACCCGGCTGGACTCCGAGGGCGGCGACTGCAGCCGGGTCTGCTTGCCGCTGCAGGACGACGTCCGCTCGCTGCGAGACGAGGTCCGGAGATGCTCACAGCGCTGCGGAACCGGGACCGGGACCGACTCCTTCACAGGTCAGCCCCACCTTCATCACTAAGGGAAGCAGCTACAGGTTCTGGTTCTGGGCGGATAACATCAGCTGTTTTTCAATTTTCTGGAAGTTTGTTCCAGATCTGTGGTGCATAGAAGCTGAATGCTGCTTCTCCATGTTTGGTTCTGGATCTGATGCAGAGCAGAATCAGAACCAGAACCTGAGTGGTTGGGAAGGTTGATCTTTAATGTGGTGCTACACCGTTCAGTGATTCATAAACTACCAGAACTGGGTGGTGTAGAACTGGGTGGTGTCTCTATCCTCTTGGTTCTAGTCAGAACTCCAGCTGCAGGTTCTGGTCTGTCGGTTTGTCAGTCAGACGCTGCAGGAATCAAAGTTTCTCTGATCGGAGACTTTAGTCTCTGGTTCTGAAAATGTTCAGGTGTCGGTTCCACTGGCATTCCTGCTGCAGGGGGCTTGGGGCCGGGCCTGGGCGCAGAGAAGCCTTTAGATGGCCACAGCGTGATCGGAGGATCCTTCAACAGCAACCAGCTGAAGACGCTGCAGGGCGAGCTCGGCGACATCATCTTCACCTTCAGCTCCATCAACGACACGCTGAAGGGCCTGGAGCACAGCGTGCAGAAACATGGCAGCGTCATCACCGACCTGGGTGAGGCCGCCGCCACCACCGCCGCCGCCGCTGCCGCCGCTGCCACCACCACCGCCGCCGCCACCACCGGCTTCACGTCTCCCTCTGACCTTCTGCAGGAAACACCAAGGACAAGATCATCTCTGAGCTGGACAAGATTCAGCAGGAAGTGACGGAGCACGTCCAGAGGAGCCAGGAGCGACTGGACCGGACGGACCGGGACGTCCGCCGCCTCGAAAGCATGCTGGTGGCGGAGATGGGCGACTGCCGGCGCTCTGGAGACGGGCTGGAGAAGAGGCTGTCCAAGCTGGAGGGAGTCTGCGCCAGGCTGGACGGCGTCTCCGACTCCATCTCCAAGGTCAAAGAAGGTCAGATTCACATGAAGCTCTGATGAAGAAGTCTGTGCCTTTAAGGAGAAAAATCCTGATTTCTCCAATCCCAGGAATATTTTGAGCTGCGTTAAAATCTGATTTATGTCCCTGCAAACATCCTCTATGTTTTACCGACAGGAAGTGACGCTCCAAGCTTCCTATTTATGATGTTCGCCCAGTACGGAAAGATGAGGTTCAGGGTTTCCCTCAGAAAACCCGCTGAGCCCTGCAGTGTAGCGCCAGCACCGTCCACCAGGGGCCGCCCAGTTTCTGTTTTAAGTGTAAAATATTAAGTTACTGCAGCACATTGTCAATGACTTTAAACACAACTTTAGAGTCTCATTAATGACAAAGCAAAAACTTACAATTGAAATAAATATTTCAGAAGTTAAATCCCACTTCAAAGCCACTGGTTGATTACTGGTTGAAAACACGTGCGGTCACGTTCACAGCCGGCCCAAGGCATAAATGAACTCAGCAGCTGCTTAAGGTCCCATGAATGTTAACACAGATTCATCTGGAGTTTTAACATTTATTTATTCAGAATAACAATGCTGTAAAATCTGACTTAATGGTTTCAGTATAGATGAATGAAAGTATTTAAAATGTTTATTTAAATGTAAGATTTTATGGAGCTGGCAGGTTTATTGTTTAACAGTTCATAGTTATACTATTTGGTCACCAGAGGAACAATCTGGTTGCTGTTACACTGGGCTCATTAAACCCCGGGCCCTCCCGGGTTTCTCTGAAGTCCTCAGCAGGAAGCGAGGCCCCTGGTCGTATTCTGCCCAAGCCCCCAGACAGCACTGGACCGGCCCTGCTGGTGCTTGGTTTTTAGTAATTGCAGTTGATTCATTAAAGCGATGTTGTTTTTGGTGCCCTGGGTTTTCCTGATCCCGGAGCCTGACGTGTCGGACCGTAACGTGTCGGACCGTAACGTGTCGGACCGTAACGTGTCGGACCGTAACGTGTCGGACCGTAACGTGTCGGACCGTAACGTGTCGGACCGTAACGTGTCGGACCGTAACGTGTCGGACCGTAACGTGTCGCTGGGTTCTGTCTGCAGGCCTGAATCGCCACATGTCGGGTTTGTGGAGCCACGTCTCCGGCCTGAACCAGACCCTCATCCAACATGGAGGAATCCTGGACTCTGTTCAAAAGAACCAGGAGCGGGTCCAGAGCAGGGTGAAGAGCCTGAACTCCAGCCTGGCCCAGGTCCAGAAAGGGCTGCAGACTGGGCAGACTGGGCAGACTGGTGAGCTAATTTCTTCTGCTGCTTTCTGGGTCAGGTGGTTCTGGTTTCCTCCAGTCCAACTCATCCAGACCAGAACCTCTCTTTAAAATGTTCAGAGCTGCTTTTTAAAAGAGGCTCATCGTTCTTGCCGTCAGCTGCTGCCCCCTGCTGGACGCTCAGCGGGAGCACTTTGAGTTACCATGGTTACTGTCTCCATCACCTGAGCTGATGAGCCTCTGCCTCTGATTGGCTCAGGAGAGGAGCGCTCAGCTCCAAGGAGAAACATGAAATGTTTGAATGGTTCATCCATTCAAACATTTCTTAAAAGACTGAAGTCTGCGTTAGGCGTCTTCTCCTATTGCATGATAAACTCCAGGTTTTAACAGCAGAAACTTTAGTTTTATTTATGATCTGAATAAAATTAAACTGTTTGTCTAAAAAAATCTGATTTATGCGGCTAAAATTCTTACAGATTTTTTCTCAGCTGGAAATGCAATTTTTTAATGTTTTTATCATATATCAAAACTTCCTCCCTGAGGCCTTCCAGGGCCTCCAGGAGAGAAAGGCCTGATGGGGCTGCCGGGCCCCCGGGGGCCCCCTGGACCTCCTGGGCTGAAAGGAGACACCGGATCCCGAGGATTTCCAGGTGGAAAGCTTCATTCCTACAGCTCTAAAATAAATCTGGCATCAGTATTAGTTTTTATCCAGATGTGAAAACATTTCTTGAGATTTTTCAAAGGTCAAAAGTGTTTCGGAATCAGCTGTTTTCCACTTCCCTTTAAAGCACACTGCTGGCTGCGCTAGCATTAACCACTAACATAAACTGATGCATCAAAATGGTGTTTAGCAGAAGCTAATGCTAAATGCTAACTTCAACACTGCATTTTGGGATTTCAAACTTTAAAATTGCTGTAACATAAAAGGCAGATTTATATGGAATAGCAAAATGTGACTTTAGTGATACAGAACTTTCATAAATTAACTTTATTATTTACAGTTAACATTTATTCACTCCATCAAACAACTGCATCAAAAAACATGCTTTCCTGATTTTATTGTCTTTATTTCATATATTTAACTTCAGATAGAGTCCAGACAAAACTCCAACACAGATGCTGAACTTTACTCAACTTAAAGTTTACAAAAAAATAAAAAATAAAATTAGCTTCAAAGTTAGCAAAAATGCTAGCTTTGCTATTAGCTGTTATTAGTATTATAATGTGCTCAATAATACATTTGATCAGGTTTAAGAGGAGCAAAATATTTGAAATCATTAGAATATAACTGAAAGAAAATTTTAAAAGTTTTAAAGGTAATTATCACATTTTGATCTCATAATTCATGTCTGATGATCAAAAGCAGCGATGCAGAGCAAGAGAAGCTGATTTCCTCTGTTTTTTTTCAGGTCCTAAAGGTGAACCAGGTACGTCCTGCTGACCTCCAACCGCTCCACGCTGCCTCTGATTGGCTGCAGACAGTCCACGCTGCCTCTGATTGGCTGCAGACGGTCCACGCTGCCTCTGATTGGCTGCAGACGGTCCACGCTGCCTCTGATTGGCTGCAGACGGTCCACGCTGCCTCTGATTGGCTGCAGACGGTCCACGCTGCCTCTGATTGGCTGCAGACGGTCCACGCTGCCTCTGATTGGCTGCAGACGGTCCACGCTGCCTCTGATTGGCTGCAGACGGTCCACGCTGCCTCTGATTGGCTGCAGACGGTCCACGCTGCCTCTGATTGGCTGCAGACGGTCCACGCTGCCTCTGATTGGCTGCAGACGGTCCACGCTGCCTCTGATTGGCTGCAGACGGTCCACGCTGCCTCTGATTGGCTGCAGACGGTCCACGCTGCCTCTGATTGGCTGCAGATGGTCCACGGGGCCTGACCTGTCTCTTCTTGTCCTCAGGTCTTCCAGGTGTGGACGCTCACAGGCCCAGGCTGTCATTCTCTGCAGGCCTCACTGCTCTGAAGGAAACGACAGGAACTGTCGTCTTTAACAAGGTCTTTGTCAACGAGGGCAACTTCTACAACCCGGTGACAGGTGAGCAGGTTCTGGTGGTTCTGGTCCAGCCAGCCACTGTGAGCTCTGATACGTAAACCCATCCTCCACAGGTGTTTTCACCGCCCCGTTGGACGGACACTACTACTTCAGCGCCGTCCTGACGGGACACAAGAACGAGAAGATCGAAGCGGTTCTGGCCAAGTCCAACTATAGCGTGGTCCGGGTGGACTCGGGGGGCTACCAGCCCGAAGACCTGGAGGCCAAGCCGGTGGCCGAGTCAAAGGTCAGCAGCGGCTCGCTGGCCGTGTTCAGCCTGGTGCTGCCGCTGCAGCGCGGCGACACGGTGTGTGTGGACCTGGTGAGGGGGAGGCTGCCCCACTCCCTGGAGCCGCTCACCGTCTTCAACGGCATGCTGCTGTATGAAAACTTATGAACCTGGTGAGTCAGAGACCAGCCAGAGCCGACCGATCCGATCTGCTCAAACCGTGGAGGAGGCTGAAATATTTCCCATGATCCTCCCTGCTCGACTCAGCAGGAAGGATTTTAACTCTGCCTGTGTTCTGTCCAATCAGCAGAGACCTTACCTGGTCACATGACCCAAACTCCTCTGGAGCCAGAACGTTACAGTAATGTTCTGCATTAACGTCCAGATGTTTGACCACAAGGTGGCGCTGCGGATCCGTACCTGGACTGAGGATCTGATTTATGTCTGATAAAATGTTTGGATGTTTTATGGAATGATGTTGATGCACTGCTGCGTCCAATCAGTTGACCTCCTCCGACCTCTAACCCATGCTGTTACCATGACAACCATTAAGGCCACAGCCTACACACACAATATCCAGCTTATTAACGCTGATGAAAGCAAACCTCAGTGGTGGGCACCGCTAGCTGAAAGGTTAGCAGCGCTAACCCTAAAACACTAACCGTAAACATTAGTGTTGCTAACGCTAACACGCTACACCAACATGATAATTGGTGAAAGCTAATGCTAAGCACTAATTTCAACCCTGACTGCACCCATCGTGTCAATGACACTTCCTTCTTGCTCAATAAGTTTCTTTAAAATAAAAAGAAAATGTGAGGAGAGGAAACTGAGCTGCAGACTTCAAAATAAGAGCATGAGTATAAGCGTCTAACTACCAGAAAAATTCAGGAGCCGAAAAACTTCAACTTAAATGCCAAACTTTATTCAAGTAAATTAGGCCTTTAGAATTTATATGAAAAATTTATTTCGGGGAAGCTAAGCTCTTTCAAAGTTAGAAAAAAGCTAAAGCACTATACAAAAAATTAAGTATTAGTGCAATAGCAAGCTAGCACTACTATGATCATAAACATAAGAAAAAACAAAACAATTTCAGGTCTATAGTTGCTGCTCAGTGTGTTTTGTTAAAAATGGCCACCAGGTTCTGCTGTGTCAGGTCGGGACATCTGATACAAAATCACAGTCTTGTTAGTTTTTATGACACATTATTCACTGAATAAAATAATAATACTCTGTGAACGCCACCAAGTGGTCAGGTGAATTTTAGCCAAATTAATCATAAACAAGGTCCTGCTACAGTTCACTTTTAGTTTAAAAAGCATCCAGCATGCTGAGGTGAGTGAAGAATCATTTCCACTCAAGTTATCGCTGGCTTATTGCTGCAGTGTTTGCCTAGCAGCTTTACTGCACATGTGCAGTAAACATGGTGTGTGTCAGGTTAGCTTGAGCAGCAGCAAAGGGAAACAAACTTCGCTCGTCCTGCTGGAGGTTCAACATGTCCGATAACATTCCAGACTCATTTCCCTTTCAGAAAAGAACACTAACGCTCTATATCAACAGAGAGTTTAGCAGATGCTAATGCTAAATTGCTCAATTCAATGTTGATTCCATGTGGCAAAGATAATGCTAAACATTTGCTAAAGTGTTAAGAAAATTAGCGTATTAGCAGAGTTCAGAAATGTTCTGGAGATGTTATGAAGACAAATGAAGCGCTTGTGATCTGGGACCAGACCGGACCGGACCAGGCAGACAAAGTAACCATGACGAAGACCACAGGAAGTCTTCATCACCGGCAAAGAATTAAGAGATTGCTCAAAGTTGCTCCGTATTCGATGTTTCCCCCTCCCAGGCTTCTTCTGGTTAGCAGAAGATGAGTAAATGCAGAGAGAAGTTTTCTTCTCCAGGACGTCGCTATGTGGAAAAGTTATCACACCCCTAGATAAATCCTGTATCTGATTTGATTAACCATCAATCAATCATCATGCTGGAAAACCCTGCGTCTGAATTAAATCAATTCAGGGCAGCAGATGGGGTCAAAGTTCACATTCAGTAGTGCTGCTGCAGCAGCAGGAGGAACAACCGGGTCTCAGGTTGGGGTTTGAATACTTTCTCACAGTAAGTGTGAAATCACTGCAGCTTCTGTTTAGGTTTTAAATGTAATTTATAATCTAAATCTTTACATAATTGGTTAAATACAGAAGAACGAAGCCAGAATATAATAAAACCAGAAATACGTTCAGATCAGGACAGTTGAGTTTATTATTCCAGCTGATTGTTTTTCTACCTGAGGAAACTAAGCATGTGCCGACAGTGGAGAGGAAAACAGGAGGAAATGTTCCAGTATAACTTCCTATAGTTAATATAAAGTCTTATATTTGAATAACTTGTGAACTTATAGTTTACTCAACACAGCATCGTTTTAACTATTATTAAATATCAAATGGCTTTCCATAGAGTACTACAACATTGACCTGCTGCCTGACGTAGAGCTGCAGCAGCTAGATGAGCAGCTTTCTGCTGTTGGGACAGACGTGAAGCATGTAGAGACATTTAAGCTGTGACCGGATGATGAAGACATATCATCATCATCATCACAAACTGTTGATGCTTCCTGAACTTCCTGAAGGACAGTTTTTCACGACTCGGCTGGAAGTGATGTTTGCTTTCTGGAGAAATGTAAAAATGTTTGACCTTCACATTTAAAAACTTCTTGATGCTCTATGATGCAGAATTGGACCTGAACCGACACCAGTTTCTTCACTCAGGATTGTACAGTTGAACATGTTCTGAGTTCATTTCTGGCTTCTGTAGCAACAAATCTCTAAAGCTAAAATGTTTCTGACAAATGTTGTTAGAAGCCTTATTAAATCAATGATTAACTGTTTTTGGTTTTATGGTTGTTTTTAAATTGATGTTTTTTCTCATTTTTCAGACATGGAGCCCAAACCCAGACTGATGATTATAAAAATCTAATTCATTGAAATGAATGAATCATATTTTAATCTACAAAATAAACAACATTTTTAATTAAAAGAGCATTTATTATAACTAAATAGACAAGAACTCAATGTTAAAGATATTTAGTTTATAATCTGTTCACCACAGGTTCAGGAGGTTCTGATCTTTCACATGGAGTTTCTTTAGACATGTGGATGCTAACATTAGCATTAGCAACATGTAGCATTGAGATACTAATTTAGGCTAGCATAGCTTCCGATAGGCTAGTTCCTTTTAGCACAAGTAGAACACAATAACAGTGTTTTCCAGCGTCTGATCAGATCAGTTAGAAGGAGAAATACACCGAGAAAATCAGCTTCGTTGCTTCTGTTAGCGGATGCAGCTGTGCATCAGATTTACGGCTGGAGTAGAAACATAAAGACATAGTACAAAGGTTCCCCTTTGGGACTGTAAAAAAATAATTGCATTAAAATTTTGAACTTTTTCAAAATTACAGTTTTTTTGTTTTCCATCATTGTTGCTATGGATGCCAGTTGTGCGTCAGATTTACAGGCGTATCAGAAACCAGCAATACAAAAGTTCCACCAGAACCTTTATATGGAAAGACAATAAAACATGTTTGATAGAGTTTTATTCAGTGGTGTCTGACATGAGTCCCTCTGCTCAGCTCCAGCTGTGTTGGAGAACAGATGCTGAATGTTTTGGTGTTTGCTGCTGATCTTGCTGCAGAATTATTATTAATAACTAATAATCATTTCTGCACCGACAGAACGGTCCAGTTTCCTCAGACACAAATGGAAATTCACTTGATTAATAATAATGTTTTAGTCTAATTGATCGGACACAGACTAGCGCAGATAATCCTGCACACTGCCAGGCAGCTGGCTCAAAGAAAGATGCTCATAAACAAACAAAATTATGTTTGGTGATCAATCAGTGAAATGTAATATTCTAGAGGATAAATGTTATAAATAAATTAGTTTCTCTATTTCAGCTCATGCTAATGTATCAAAAGACGCAAATATTTTATTAATTTTATAGATATCATTAATATATAGTGATAATTATTGTTGTGGAGCAGGAATTGATGAATTAAATAAAATTGTATTGTTTTTACTAATCACACCAGGAGAATGTCATGTTGGTGAAACACTGAAAATAAATTTAGTAAATTTAATAATTAGGCCAGAAGACGGAACCAGATGTTTTCAGATTAATGGATTTATTAGATGATTTTCTTTCATGTTTCTTGATCCATCAGAGAAACTCTGAATTCAGCACTAATTATTCCTCCTTTTCTCTTTAGTGAAAATGAAACAAGTTTTGGATTAAAATGTTGAGTTTTGTTGCTTTGAATATCATGTTTAAGTTGCTTTGACTCAGTTTTGATGCATGTTTTTGTGACAGAAATGGAAAATTTCTGGAATATTTATTTTATTTATTATGAAGCAGGAAGATTAAAGTGTTCAGAAACAACAAACACATTTTTGTATATGTAGTTTTCAGTCAAACAGGCGCAGCTTCAAGGTTCGACCGATTTCTGGGTTTCAGTCGCTGTTTTTCTGCTAACAGCAAACGAAGCAGCAGGTCAAAGCGATGATGACGAAACTCCAGCTGCACCCTGAAAACACGTTAGCATCAGAGTTCCCGCCTGTCATTGAGCCTCATCTGAAGGTGAACATTGATGCAGTAATCTGATCATATTGATAAAGTGTTGTTCAGTTTGCTCAGCATTAACATACCTGGCCGGTTCCCTCCCCCTGCTGGTGCCGACGTAACGGACTCTACAGGAAAAACAATTCATTCATTAGCCTTCAGGTTAAAAACTAAAATGGCTCAAATAAACATTAACACATTTTTCTAACTTCCTGCAGAAGAGAACTGTGCTACAGTGACAACATGCCATATTTTCCTTCTCTAATATTGACGCGTCAGTGTTACAGTTCCTCCAGGATTTCATTAGTCATTTTTTAGTAATTTAAATCACTGATTTTGTGGCGCAACATTAAAAATATTTGCAGGAAATGTTGATATTTCCTCTTATGTTAGACATAAATGTGACTTTTTGTTACTCGCCTCATCGATCACAGACATCAAGTCAAGCTGAAGCAGCAGAGTAGCAGAGGAAGAAATACTGCCACCTGTAGGTGGGAGTTGGCATCACTTAACCTAGACGCCTTTCAACACATATGTGGGTTAGCGCAAAAAATGTTGGCTAACATGTTTGCAGCTACATGCTAACATGGCAGATGGTGACTACATGTTACCATGTTGGCAGCAACATGCTAACATGTTGGCAGCTACATGCTAACATGTTGGCAGCTACATGCTAACATGTTGGCAGCTACATGCTAACATGACGGATGGCGGCTACCTTCCATCCAAGCCACGTGGATGCTGAAGTCCTGCGACTCGTGGGGTTTCGCCACGGAGCAGACGTGGGTCCCCAGGTCCCGGTTCTGGGCCCACTGGATGGACAGCTGGATGCTTCCGGGTCGGTACCGCATGGCGTAGCCGGTGCTGCAGTTCTGGTACTTCCTGTGCTTGATGTAGTGGCACAGCAGCTTCCTGCGGGGGCTCGTCCAGCGCACCGTCAGCCGCTCCAGGTTCTGCTCGTCCTCAAAGCCATACGGACAAGGCAGAGAAAGCCGCTGACCGGGCCGGCAGAACAGCTGGACCGCACCGCCTGGAGGACCAGAACCAGTCAGTAACAGCTTTAGACAAAATCTGACTTCACAGTAAACATGTTTAAAATCTTTTATAATTTGGGATAAATGTGTGAAATGTGAATAAAACAGAATAAAAGCGACTGCAGCTCCCTGAAGCCCCGGCTGGCTCTGAGCAAACCTGCAGCCTTCGACGAGGTTCTGGTTCCGTTCAGGGATTTAAAGTTCACTTAAACTGGGTCAAGTGGGATTTGAAGCAATCCCACAGCATGATGCCACCACTACTGTGCTGAACAGTTGCTCCAGCAGGGGTCCAAAGCGCGGTTTGGGGGCCATTTGCAGCCCCAAAAAAGCAAATCTGGCCTGGAAGCCTGGCTGGTTTTATGACGTTTTGTCAACAATTTACAGATAAATTGCATATTCTTAAGAAATATTATGTACAAAAATACTTTTAATTTCTGAAAGTTTTTTCAGAAATGTTGATATACTTTTCTTAATTGTTACTGAATACAAACAATCAAACCAGGAAACTTTGGGCTTTTTTAATGTTTTGTATCGATTTACACATTTGTCTCTACAAAATCAAACTTTTCCTCAGATTTAAATTAATTACTGATCAGTTAAAACTGAAAGTTTTAGACCATTTTAGTGGCTGCAGTTGTTTTCAGGTGGACAAATTTAGCCTCAAAAAGTTTGTACACCCTGCTGGGTTGTCTGGCACTTGGAGACTTTCCCCAGAACCCAGAACCTTAAAGTCTAGATCAGTTTTTAAAGCTCAGAATGGATCCTCTCTGCAGAGGAGGTCCGGTCTGGTTCTGGTTCTTTTGGAGCCCAGAAACCTCCAGGCTGTTTCCTGTCAGATGGAGGAACTTACCTTCTCCAGCCAGGCGGGACAGAACCAGTCCGAGGTACAGCATCTGTTCCACAGCCGTGGACCGCATCTGGGTCTGGTTCTGGTCTGTTTCTGGTTCTGGTCAACCCGCCAGGTTAAAGTATTCACACCCTGCCTGGGAACCAGGAGTCCACACAGAGTTTCTACTTTTGCTTTCCGGCGGTGTCGCTTTCCAAGCCTCCAGCTGCAACCTGAGTCTACTGAGGAAGAGGAGGGCCAGCCTTCATCCCTGTTGTCTGGGCAGAACAGAACCCTGGTTCTGGCCCGGTCCAGAGCTGAAATGAGCCTCAGTCAGGGGGGACTGTGACTCAGCAGGTGAAATGTTTCAGTTTCTGTTCTGGTTCTGGAGGCTTTCATCTCCATCGTAGTCATCAGCTGGACAAACTTCCAGAGACTTAAAGGGCCGGTAGCAAGTGTTTTATTTCTTATAGCATGTCAATTCTATTACCTTCTAAATAGATCTAAAAGTGCTTTTTTAAAATCAAATATGACTTCCTGATTTAATTCCTTAAAATTGGCTGTAGCAGCCCTGCAAATCGGACACACAGAGCCTTAAAGGGCCGGTACCGTCTGGTCCACATTTTATCATTTTACAGCACAATCAGTAACTCCGTGTCCTTCCAAACATGACTTAAAGCAGATTTGTTGTCCTGATTTAACTCCTTAAAATTGGGCCTCTTGTCTCTTTAAGAAGCTCCTGTTCTTCCAGAAGCTCTGCCTCCAGGAAGTTGTCCCAACATGCCTCCTCTATTCACCCTTTAACGTTTCAGTTAAAGGGTGTTAAGGAGCTGAGTGGGGGAGGAGCTGCACCTCGGAGGCGGAGCTAAGTCCACCCAGGCATTTAGCAGCTGAATGGTTGCCATAGAGATTAAAATAATTCCCAAACGTGGAGGAATCAAAGCAACACAGCAGGTTTGATTTTGATTAATTTTTATAACAAAGATGAAAATGTGTAATTTACAGGACACTGGCCCTTTAAATGACCAGGTTTCACTACATCGTGGAAAACGTGGAGGAAATAATCATTCCTCCACATGTTTCCTTTTCCTTCTGTTTTTCTCTGTTCTCTGTGTCTGTAATAGTTTGAATTGAATTGAATCAGTGAGTTTTTATTTACTTTTCATTTTTTGTTTACTTCCTGTTTCAGGAAAACAAACTTCCAGTCTGAAAATCTCTGACGTTTGATTTCTACATTTTATTTTTCTGACTGCGAGTTAAAGATGTCTGTTGGTGTGACGCTGCCACCTACTGGGCAGGCAGGGCAACATCACAGCCTGCCTGTCTAATCCATCCACTGTTTGACTCACTGTTTGACTCACTGTTTGACTCACTGTTTGACTCACTGACTCACTGTTTGACTCAGTGTTTGACTCAGTGTTTGACTCACTGACTCACTGTTTTACTCAGTGTTTGACTGACTGTTTGACTCACTGACTCACTGTTTGACTCAGTGTTTGACTGACTGTTTGACTCACTGTTTGACTCAGTGTTTGACTCACTGACTCACTGTTTGACTCAGTGTTTGACTCACTGTTTGACTCACTGACTCACTGTTTGACTCAGTGTTTGACTGACTGTTTGACTCACTGTTTGACTCAGTGTTTGACTCAGTGACTCACTGTTTGACTCACTGTTTGACTCACTGTTTGACTCACTGACTCACTGTTTGACTCAGTGTTTGACTCACTGTTTGACTCACTGACTCACTGTTTGACTCAGTGTTTGACTGACTGTTTGACTCACTGTTTGACTCACTGTTTGACTCACTGACTCACTGTTTGACTCACTGTTTGACTCACTGTTTGACTCACTGACTCACTGTTTGACTCACTGTTTGACTCAGTGTTTGACTCACTGTTTGACTCACTGTTTGACTCACTGACTCACTGTTTTACTCAGTGTTTGACTGACTGTTTGACTCACCGTTTGACTCACTGTTTGACTCACTGTTTGACTCACTGTTTGACTCACTGACTCACTGTTTTACTCAGTGTTTGACTGACTGTTTGACTCACTGTTTGACTCACTGTTTGACTCAGTGTTTGACTCACTGTTTGACTCACTGTTTGACTCACTGACTCACTGTTTGACTCACTGTTTGACTCACTGTTTGACTCACTGTTTGACTCACTGACTCACTGTTTGACTCACCTTTTGACTCAGTGTTTGACTCACTGTTTGACTCACTGTTTGACTCACTGACTCACTGTTTGACTCACTGTTTGACTCAGTGTTTGACTCACTGTTTGACTCACTGTTTGACTCACTGACTCACTGTTTTACTCAGTGTTTGACTGACTGTTTGACTCACTGTTTGACTCACTGTTTGACTCAGTGTTTGACTCACTGTTTGACTCACTGACTCACTGTTTGACTCAGTGTTTGACTGACTGTTTGACTCACTGTTTGACTCACTGTTTGACTCACTGACTCACTGTTTGACTCACTGTTTGACTCACTGTTTGACTCACTGACTCACTGTTTGACTCAGTGTTTGACTCACTGTTTGACTCAGTGTTTGACTCACTGTTTGACTCACTGACTCACTGTTTGACTCAGTGTTTGACTGACTGTTTGACTCACTGTTTGACTCACTGTTTGACTCACTGTTTGACTCACTGTTTGACTCAGTGACTCACTGTTTGACTCACTGTTTGACTCAGTGTTTGACTCACTGTTTGACTCACTGTTTGACTCAGTGACTCACTGTTTGACTCACTGTTTGACTCACTGTTTGACTCACTGTTTGACTCAGTGTTTGACTCAGTGTTTGACTCAGTGTTTGACTCACTGTTTGACTCACTGACTCACTGTTTTACTCAGTGTTTGACTGACTGTTTGACTCACTGTTTGACTCACTGTTTGACTCACTGTTTGACTCACTGTTTGACTCAGTGTTTGACTCACTGTTTGACTCACTGACTCACTGTTTGACTCACTGACTCACTGTTTTACTCAGTGTTTGACTGACTGTTTGACTCACTGTTTGACTCACTGACTCACTGTTTGACTCACTGTTTGACTCACTGTTTGACTCACTGTTTGACTCACTGTTTGACTCACTGACTCACTGTTTGACTCACTGTTTGACTCACTGTTTGACTCACTGACTCACTGTTTGACTCACTGTTTGACTCACTGTTTGACTCACTGACTCACTGTTTGACTCAGTGTTTGACTCACTGTTTGACTCACTGTTTGACTCACTGTTTGACTCAGTGTTTGACTCACTGTTTGACTCACTGTTTGACTCAGTGTTTGACTCACTGTTTGACTCACTGTTTGACTCACTGACTCACTGTTTGACTCACTGTTTGACTCAGTGTTTGACTCACTGTTTGACTCACTGTTTGACTCACTGTTTGACTCACTGACTCACTGTTTGACTCACTGTTTGACTCAGTGTTTGACTCACTGTTTGACTCAGTGTTTGACTCACTGTTTGACTCAGTGTTTGACTCACTGTTTGACTCATTGACTCACTGTTTGACTCAGTGTTTGACTCACTGTTTGACTCACTGACTCACTGTTTTACTCACTGTTTGACTCACTGTTTGACTCACTGTTTGACTCACTGACTCACTGTTTGACTCACTGTTTGACTCACTGTTTGACTCACTGTTTGACTCACTGTTTGACTCACTGTTTGACTCACTGTTTGACTCTGCGCTCTTGTTTTGTGATAGTTTGTCTGAAGAAGTGGAGAAGCAGAAAGCGAAGCGTGACTCACATGATGACAGCGACGAATCGCAGATCCTCCGGTTCCGACCCGCTTCAGAAACCTCACAGCGCCGGCGGGTCAAGAACCCGGGCTGAGTCAGAACCACGCAGCAACAAGCAGCACCATGGAGCTGCAGCAGATTAGGTTGAATGTTTACAAAGCAGTGCAGATCATAAAACTAGAACCAGCCCTTGAAATGATAAATTCTTCAAGTCGTTTGGGTCAGGTCGGACCAACTGGTTCTGACCTACGATCAGAACTGAAAACACTTCAAAATGCTTTAAAACTGGAAAGTCCCACTTTTCCTGCTGTGTAAACGCACCATCATGGGCTCAAGCCGCGGCTCCAGCGCCCTGTGTGGCCCCTGGACTGACATTTTCGGCCCCGGACTGAAAGTCAAGAAGGACCAAGATTTGGCGCCCAGCACAGGAAGCTGATTTACCGTATTATTCAGACTAAAAGCCGTTACTTTTTTCTACACTTTGCAGCTTGTAGCCCGGTGCAGCGTCTCTGTGTATCTTTTTTCAACCGCCAGGGGGCGCTTTAGCAGGAAGTGAATCATTGGAAGTCAAAGAAGAAAGTGCTAATTTTCATCCAAGCATGTGCTAAGAGCAGCATGGCGTCGGTACAGGCGGGAAATGGAGCCATTGCATGTAAACCCGGTGTGAAGGAAACCATGGAAACAGAGGCCTGCGTCATTCATAAACCCAGCAGCTTTATCAGGACGCTGCCCTCTGCCGCCCTCTGCTGGATCCTTGTGGAAAACCGAGAGCGGCTGATATACAGCTTACAGTTTTTTCCCCAAAAATTGTAGCTCCGGCTTATAGTATGGTGCGCTCTATAGTCCGGAAAATACGGTAAATTAATACTTTTTTTGTTTTAATTTTGGTGAAACTGTCACAAATTAAAATGTTATGAACAGAAAACATTTCCTGCAAAAGTATCCATCATCAATTTCTGCAACCACATCTGGTTTCATTCATTTGTGAAACTTCTGTTTTTATTTTTCACTTTAAGTCATTAAACTTTCATAAAAACCTTAAGTGTTTTCACAGACAGACTTAAATTATGCTTTTATTTCTCAAAATTCACCAAATCTTTTTTTGTTTTCAATTGAAACCTGAAAAACTAAAAACATTTTAGTAAAGTAAACCTTAAAACCCTCTTAAAATTTTGGATCGACAATAATTGATTCATTTCCACAGAGGTTTCATTTATTGCTGAAAAGAAAAATCTGTTAGTCAAGAGTTTATCTGACAGAAGCTGCTGAACATCACACATTTTCTATCAAAGCATCTAAAACATCTGAATAACATCGAAAATATTTTTCAGTTTATTTTTGTTGTTTCCGGATCCAGTCCAGTTTGCTCCGGGTTCTGGTCGGTACCAGGACCCGGTTCCTGGTTTGGGTTCTTTTGAAGGTCCAGAACCTTCAGGTCGTCTGGGTCGTTGCGGCTCTGTCCGCGCTGAGGGGCGAACCGACAGGAGCCGCTTCCGGTTGGCTCTTCAGAATAAAAGCACCACGGATGTTTATCACCAGCTTCCTGTAGGGCTGCTAAATATGGGCAGGCGTTTTATTCAACTTAATTCAATGAATACGTTTATGGAGCTAAATCTGCGTATTAGCTTCGTAAATATGCTCATGATAAAACAAGAGAAAATAAAGGTAAAAAAGACGTTAATAATGAGATTATATAGTCAATTTCATCATTTGTGATTTTATTTCAAGATAATTTTATGCATTTAATTACGTATTTGTTTTTATTTTGACTTTTATTTAATAAAGCTACTTAGAAAACTTCACCTCATTTAAATAGAACATGGAATAAAAAATCTGCTATCAAATGGATTTAAAAAATAAAATTCCACAGAATAAAACATGAAGTGGTATTTATTCAAATAAAAAAATATACATAAAAAATAATGACAACAAGGAGCATTTTGTCAATTACTTACTGTTAGAAAATATTTAAAATCTTTATTTTATTTGTGTGGACATTTGTTTATTTGATGGAGTATTTATTAATTATTAATAACATTATGGCCTTATTTGTCACTGAATCCCAGAAACCAACAGCCGGATCAGAACCGAGTCCTGAAGACGCCAAACGGGTCGCGGCTCAGGTCCAGCTTCAGACCTGCAGGAAAACTTTCTGCTGTTTTCTTCACCAGTGGAGTAAAAAGTTTAGCTTCACTTTGAGTCAAAGTCACATCAGGGTCAGCATCCTGCAGATGGTGAAAGGAGTCCAGAACCAGAACCAGAACCACGCTCCAACCGGTAACACAATGAATCCTCCAACATGGGACTTTATTCAGTTTATTGACAAAAACACAATAAATGATGTGAGTACTTTTCCCTCCACAACGTTTTCATCCCACTAGTTATTACAAAGTTAATCCACTTTTAATTCAGACATTATAAAACTTTAAAAAATACAGCGAGGCTCAAAGGTTTCTGTCAGCTCTCTACTAAATTCAGAGTTAAACTGGCTGTGAAGCTAAAGTTTAAACTGGAAACCAGTATGTATAGTACCACTAAACCCAGACAGTCAGGAGGAAATCTTTAATAATACAGGAAATCTGCTGAAGTTCATAGAAATAATCCTTTAAATTATGTACAAAGTACTAAAAACATTTCACATGTCAGAAGGCGGGAGTAAAAACCAGCGGAGATCCGATTCAGGACTGCTGCTCCGACTGGGAGGACTGGGAAGAGCTGCTAGCTTTTTACTCCACCCATTCATCAAATTTCTAATTTCATTCTCAGCATCGTTCAGATCCGAAAACTACAAACGTTTCTAAAGTGCTTAAAGGAAACTAGTCTGACAAAAGCAAAAGGAAAATCTGATCAAACAAAGAAAATACTCATTATTTAACATATGGACAGAAGTTCAGCAAATCCAGGCTGAAACTGGTTTGAACTCTTCCTCCCAGTTCCTCAGTACTTGGGAACTTTGCTGTAATCCTCCTGGAAGTTTCTGCACATGCAGACGGACAGAATCATCCCCAGCAGCTGCAGATACAGAAACATCTGGTTAAAACAGGAGCAGCTCAGCATTCCTGTCCGACCCAGACCCCCAGGAGTTCCTCTGGGACCACCAGGAGTTCCTCTGGGACCACCAGGAGTTCCTCTGGGAACCGGACTCCGTCCCAGACCCCAGGAGTTCCTCGGGGACCCCAGGAGTTCCTCGGGGACCCCAGGAGTTCCTCGGGGACCCCAGGAGTTCCTCGAGGACCCCAGGAGTTCCTCGGGGACCCCAGGAGTTCCTCGGGGACCCCAGGAGTTCCTCGGGGACCCCAGGAGTTCCTCGAGGACCCCAGGAGTTCCTCGGGGACCCCAGGAGTTCCTCGAGGACCCCAGGAGTTCCTCGGGGACCCCAGGAGTTCCTCGGGGAACCGGACTCCGTCCCAGACTCTCCCTGAATTCACTCAGCAGCTCCAAGTGGAGCCTTTATCACAAAGTGTTGCCACTAATTAGATGAAACTGCAATCAAACTTCTGAGCGAACAAAATTTAACCAGCAGAAGAACGGAAACGTCACACAGCAGCACTCTGTTCACAGAATTTAACTTTATAAAAATCAAATTGCTGAAGTCCAGATCTAGTAATTATTTTCACTATTTGAGCTTTAATGTTTGTTTTTTAGAAACTGTTGTTTTCTAGCCCAGAAGCTTTTAACCTCCATTGCACAATAAAAGCCTTTAGTGTTACAGTATAGAATATGTTTATGGAATTCAATATTCTAAAGGTTATTTCTAATTTTGGGTTTGAAGCTTTTTAGCGATGCACAGCAGCTGAAGAATGGAGATGACTAATTCTAGTATTAATCAGAACATGTGTAAGTAAAGTATAATTGTTGAAATGGAAAGTTCTCTGCATATATATTTAAAGTATGTGACTTTGAACCAAAGGATTACTTTAGAGTATGAAAGAATAACATATAAATGATGATGAATAAGTAATTATGATTACATGTCTGTTTTAATATGTCAGTTGTAGAAGACAATGATAAAACTTTTTTATTACACAACCTTGCTCTGAGTTAAGGTTACTTCCATGGAGTTCACCCTCCGACCTCTAGATGGTATCAAAGCACTTCTACAAATATGTGTAATATGTGAGGAATATGTTCAACCAACATTTGCAATAATGGGGCCAATTAGCTTCCCTCTTTGATCATTTATGTTCCTAAAGTTTCCCTTCCAACAACAGACACAGAACTTCAAATTTAACTTGAAGTTAAATTTCAAATTCTATGGCGTTTGTTCTATAGTGTTTGTTCTATAGTGTAAATTCTACGGCATTCGTTCTGCGGCGTTTGTTTTATGATGTTTGTTCTATATTGTTTGTTCTGCGATGTTCTCAGGAAACACAGATCGTACCTCGATGAATGCCACCGCCATGCAGATTCCCAGCACCACAGCGATGTTGGTGAGCAGCCAGCTCTCCACGCTCTTAGAGCAACCCTGAGGCAGAAACCAGACGGGAATTCAGCCAGACAAATCGGATAAAAACGGGTTCAACTGGAATTGAATAGAGCCGTGTTTGGTGGGACTGAACCGGACGGCGTTCTTTCTTACCGTGCTGTAAACGGGCCAGTCGGCCGTCTTGGACTTGCAGAGCCAACTGTTTTCCAGGTCGGACTCGGCCAGGTTCGGCTCAGTCATGGAGACGTTCTGACAGGAGCAGGGGAACAGAAACTCCGAACTGTTTTTGATCACCTGGTTCACATTCCAGTCCTCATGGCCTGTCCAGCCGCAGCATTCCATCTGCAGGGAGGTCAAAGGTCATCAAAACAACAGCTAAAGGAACTTGTTTCTGTTCGGGTCGGTTTCCGACCCGAACAGAAACAGAACAGGCTGCTTGGCGCTGAACTTACGTTCTTCTGGATGAAACTCCAGGCTCGCTCCGTGCTCGTGCTGTTGTCGGAGAAACCTTCCAGCACCTCGCTGATGACCTTTGACATCTCATTGTGCAGCTGGAAGACAAGTTAAAAATGCCTGTTTGGTTCTGATGGCGATCCGATTCGGTTCGGATGAAAAACCAACGCATAAATAAAATAAATCTGCTTCCTGTATAAGTTTTATATAAACAACTTCATTCATTCTTATTTTTATTTCTCATCTTTGCAATTTATTTTTTAATCAATCGATCAGCTGAATATAAAACTGTAAAATATTTTCACTTTATATTTCCCTTTTTAATTTGGTAATTTTTCATTTAAAATAAATGAAAATAAAAATTTTAAATTAAATTTAAAAAAAGAAAAAAAATTAAATTAAATAAATTTAAAATAAATTTAAAATAAATGTTAAATATTTTGAACACATTTATTTTTTCTATTAAATTTAATTATGCTTTTATTTACTATTTTCCTTCCTGCTTATGTTTTTTAATATTTGAGGGTTGTTTCTATAATTTTATTTCCGTATTGCTTTATGTATTTATTAATTATAGAAAGTAATTAACATTTGTTTTTTACTTGTTCAAAGATTAACTTTCTGTGTTGCCTGTACAGACGCTAATGAATATATTTTTTAAACATTTATTCATGCAGCACAAACTCATTATGCATTCTGAAGGTATTTTAGAAAAAAAGTACTTTTAATCTAAACATAAAATAATTATTAATTAAAAA